CACCCATCACCAAGACCTGAGACTGCGGCCTGTTAGTGACTAGCAAATCAGCCCCCCATCTATTTACTCCACTACTGCTGTCTTAAATTAGGCCTTCTCCATATCCAGCCTGAGTCATCACCAAGCCCATTAACTGGACATCCTCCCACCTGTGCAGCCACTCTCCACACTGCAACTACACACTCCGTTCTTGCACCTGCTGTCAGAGCGGTATTTCTGAAACAGAGATCTGATCTTGTTCCCTTCAGCTTTTTCTAGGGACTTTTCAATCTGGAGTTCTGACATAGAACTGAATTTCAATATAATTCTAAATTCTGCCAATAACAGGAATGAACTTAGAAGAGGATCTAAAGCTTCATATGAGAACATAGGGACACATCTGAAGTTAACCGTTTCTCTGAGTCCTGGTTCTTGTTAGAGGGAAATGGCATTCAGTTAGTATATAATTATGACTATATATATGGGAGTTTGTTAAGTATTAACTTACACAATCACAAGGTCCTACAATAGGCTGTTTGCAAGCTGAGGAGCAAGGAGAGCCAGTCCAAGTCCCAAAACTGAACAACCTGGAGTCCAATGTTCAAGGGCAGGAAGCATCCAGCACAGGAGAAAGATGTAGGCTGGGAGGCTAAGCCTATCTCTCCTCTTCACGTTTTTCTGCCCACTTTATATTCACTGTTAGCTGATTCGATGGTGCCCACTCGATTAAGGGTGGGTCTGCCTTCCCCAACCACTGACTCAAATGTTAATCTCCTTGGGCAACGCCCTCACAGACACACCCATGATCAATATTAACATCCTTCAATAAGTTGACACAAGGTATTAATCATCATAAATCCACCCTTGACAACTTGAACCCATACACATCTCCTGAGATCATACATAATCTTCACATAAGACAATAATAAAGTCATAATTACACCTAACATAATACAACTATTCTTTGTACAACCGGAAATGTACCAGTCCCCAACTTAAGTACTATTACATAAAGTTAATGATACTTAAATGCTGATATGAAGTCACTAAATCTTATGTCACATGATAAAAAAGGAGATAAAATGAGATGTTTTCTTAGTACAAGTGTATACATGCACAAACATGTTTTTAACAAAAGAAGGAGGAAAAATGACAATTACAGTCCTCATTTCTGCAGCTGGTCACATTGTCATAGCTGGTATTGATGACTACCTTTTTCTATTACCCATTCTGTATTCCCTTTGCCTTCAGCAAGCACCTGAGCAGGTTGTGGTTTTTGCCTGGTAGAGTGACCCAAACCTTCATTCCTGAAGGGTCTGGGCCATTTGTAGTCCTGCCTGGATTGGACTCTTGTAATTTCTCATTATGGTAATTCTAAGAGATGCCCTATAGGATCTCCTGTATTCCATCTGTACTCTTGCTGACCTCCACTGTGGAGTAGTAGACTGATTTCATCTTGATAGTCTAGGTCAGTCACCCCAGCCAACACTGCAACTCCCTTCTAAGCCTGTTAACTTAAAGGTAGGAGGGCACCCAAAGTATCCCGTTGGCAATCTTAACTCCCAGTTTAATGGAATCATTGTTGTGTTTCTTGGTGGCAGCATTCCTCTCTCTGGAACTATGATGTTTAGGCCAGCAGAACATAATATCGCAGGAACACGAAGCAAAAACGTTGCTAGTGGATCATAGGGGTGATGGTGAGTGGTGCCACTTCCACCCCTTGATTCCTGGACCCATGAATCCTGGCTATGGAAGAAACAGTACTGAGGGAATGTATTCTCTTCCCAGGTCCACCAGGGGGCGTAGTTTCAAAGACAAGAACTTCACAGCACCTTATCTCCACCCACCTCTCCATCCGGGATCTTAGAGGTATTTGTTTAAACTTTCGTGAGCACAGGAAAAAAAATTGAAGATCAATCACTCCAGAAGTTTAAAGGAACTGCTTTCATAGGCCAAAGGGCTTGGATGGAGTGGGAATTCCTCCCAGGTTAAAAGTCCCTGTCCCCCATATTGGGGTGGACTCCATATCTGGATCCTCTTCCATTACCTCATGGAAGCTCTTTTTCTTTCTCCTTTTCTTCTCGCTCTCCCTGAAAAAATCACTTACTGCAAAACTCTTCAGGGTCTGATATTTACTTGCAAGTGCCCTGCACCTGGCAGTGTCCTCTTTCCCATTCTTGTGTGAGTGAGGGACCAAGAGCCTGGAAAAAACAGCCCACCAGGGTACAAGCTAAGCCTCCCCTGGGTCCTGGAACCTGGTCACAGTACCATATATTGGATGCGGATTCAGAGACTACATGGCCTTCTGAAGAACTTTGCCCCAAGTCATGCAAAATATTATCACCTAGCTGGTGTTGTAGTTGTGATTTCAAAAGGCCATTCCACTGTTCTATCCAGCTGCTTCGGGATGATGGAGAACATGGTAAGACCAGTGAATTCCATGAGCATGAGCGTATTTACTGCACCAAGCATGAGCGGTAAAGTGAGTGCCTTGGTCAGAGGCAACGCTGTATTGAATACCGTGATGGTGGATAAGGCATTCCGTGAGTCCACAGATGGTAGTCTTGGCAAAAGCATTGCATGCAGGATAGGCAAATCCATATTCAGAGTAAGTGTCTATTCCAGTGAGGACAAATCTCTGCCCTTTCCATGATGGAAGAGGTCCAATATAATCAACCTGCCACCAGGTAGCTGGCTGATTGCCCTGAGGAATGTTGCCATATGAAGGGCTCAGCATTGGTCTCTGCTGCTGGCAAATTAGGCACTCAGCAGTGGCCGTAGCCAGATCAGCCTTAGTGAGTGAAGGTCTATGTTGCTGAGCCCATGCATAACCTCCATCCCTGCCACCATGGCCACTTTGTTCATGGACCCATTGGGCAATGACAAGGGTGGCTGGGGAAAGAGGCTGAGTGGTTGTCCACAGAATGGATCATCCTATCCACTTTATTATTAAACTCTTCCTCCACTGAGGTGAACACCTGTTGGTGAACACTCACATGGAATACAAATATCTTCACAGTTTTTGACCACTCAGAAAAATGCATCCATGTACCTCTTCCCCAAATTTCTTTGTCACCAATTTTCCAATCATGGTTCTTCTAAGTCCCTGACCATCCAGCCAAACCACTGGTTACAGCCCATGTATCAGTATATAATTGCTCATCTGGCCATTTCTCCTTCTATGCAAAGTGCACAGCCAGATGCGCTGCTCAAAGTTTCTCAAGTTTCTCCCACTGGGAAGATCTTCCTTCACTGCCATCTTTCAGAGATGTCCTAAAAAGGAGCTGTAGTGCTGTAGCTGTCCACTTTCAGGTGGTGCCTGCATATCATCCAGAACCATGTATGATCCAGGCCCTAGTCTTCCCTTCCTCTGTCAGTTGATCATAAGGAACTCCCCATGAGTCAATCGGTGCAGGCTCGGAGAGAGAAGGCAGGGTAGCAGGAGTTGGTACCATGGGCATTTGAGCCACTTCCTCCTATAATTTACTTGTGCCTTCAGGACCTCCTCAAGCCCGATCACATATATACCACTTCCATTTGATGATGGAATGCTGCTGTGCATGACCTACTTTATGGCTAGATGGGTCAGAAAGCACCCAGTTCATGATAGGTACTTCGGGTCCCATAGTGACTTGATGGCCCATCATTAAACATTCAGTTTCCACAAAAGCCCAGTAACAGGCCAAGAGCTGTCTCTCGAAAGGAGAGTAGTTATCTGCAGAAGATGGCAGGGACTTGCTCCAAAATCCTAGGGGCCTCCGCTGTGATTCACAAATGGGACCTGCCAAAGGCTCTGAGCAGCATCCCTGTCTGCCATTGACACCTCAAGCACCATTGGACCTGCTGGGTCATAGGGCCCAAGTGGCAGAGCAGCTTGCACAGCAGCCTGGACCTGTTGCTGAGCCTTCTCCTGTTCCGAACCCCACCAAAAACTGGCAGCCTTTTGAGTCATTCGATAAATGGGATGGAGTAATACACCCAAATGACAAATCTGTGTTGCCTCCAAAATCCAAATAGGCCCACTAGGCATTGTGCCTCTTTCTTTGTAGTAGGAGGGGCCAAATGCAGCAACTTCTCCTTCGCCTTGTAAGGACAATCTTGACAGGCCCCACACCACTGGACCCCTAGAAATTTTACTGAGGTAGAAGTTCCCTGAATTTTAGTGGGATTTATTTCCCATACTCTGACACACAAATGTCTCACCAGTAAGTTTAGTGTGTTTGCTGCTTCTTGGTCACTTGATCCAATCAGCATAATGACATCAATGTAACGGGCCAGTGTGATGCCTTTCAGAAGCAAAAAGCAATCAAGTTCTCTCCGAGTAAGATCATGACACAAAGCTGGAGAGTTGATATGCCCCTGAGGTAGGATAGTAAAGATATATTACTGGCCTTGCCAGCTGAAGGCAAATTGCTTCTGGTGGGCCTTATGGACAGGAATGGAGAAAAAGCTATTTGCCAAGTCAATGGCTGCATACCGGGTACCAAGAGCTGTGTTAATTTGCTCAAGCAATGAAACCACATCTGGTACAGCAGCTGCAATTGGAGTCACCACCTGGTTAAGCTTATGATAATCCACTGTCATTCTCCAAGATCCATCTTTCTTCTGCACAGGCCAAATGAAAGAATTGAATGAGGATGTGGTGGGAATCACCACCCCGGGTCTTTCAAGTCCTTGACGGTGGCACTAATCTCCACAATCCCTCCAGGTGCAATATTGTTTCTGATTTACTATTTTTTTTTTACTTAGTTTTAATTTACTATTTTTCTAGGTAGAGGCAGCTCAAATGGCTTCCACTGGGCGTTTCCTACCATATTAACCCTTACCCTTCCAGTCAGAGAGCCAATGTGCGGGTTCTGCCAGCTGCTAAGTATATCTATGCCAATTACACATCCTGGCACTGAGGAAATGACGACAGAATGAGTCCAGGGACACTCCGTTAATTACCTGACCTCCTGTTCCACATAGGAAGTGCACAAGGGGAAAAGAAAAGGCACACAACAATACTTTTAGGAGTAAACAGCCTTTATACCAAGGATGTGACAATGCAGATATAATATGCAAATCACAGTGGGAAATGGAGAGGGCAGATATATACACATACACACATACACCCAATAGACTGTGGAGGAATCATCACCAGACTGAGAAGCCGGGGCTCCAGAGTCAGCCATCCATCCATGCACAGACGAGGAGAGGTCTTGTGGAGCTTCAGTGTGGTCTGGGACCATAGCTCTTGCATAACGAGTTGTTTGACCCAGTCCCAAGGACCCTTTGTGCCTGAGCTCAAGGACACAAAAAGGTCAACCTATTTTTGCGATTGTCTGTTGCTTTTCAGTAACTAACATACAAGAACAGATTTCTCCGAAACAGTGCTGGATGAATGCCTCAAGAGGTTCATGTAGCCTGTTCCGGGATTGGTGACCATTGTTTCTGTCCACGTTCAACTGAGTTCAAATTTAATGTTTAACTTTTCCTCCACACCTCCACAATCCCATACTTGGAACTGGAGGACCACAATGATGTTTTGGGTCTCCTGGAATCAACGTCAGCTCAGAGCCAGTGTCCAGTAGTCCCCAAAATGTCTGATCACTTCTCTTTCTCCAATGCACAATTACCCTGGTAAAAGGTCGGAGGTCTCCTTGGGGAAGGATGGGAGAAAGATTTACTGCATAAATTGCCAGTAATGTAGTGGTGTTCTTCCTCAAGGGGACCGGGCCTCCCCTTCATTCAAGGGGTTCTGGGTCTGTAAACTGGCTCAAGTCTGGAAATTGATTGAGAGACCATGATTCTGTTTTTATGATTCAAATTAATCTTTTGTCCATTCGACCTAGAAGTTTTCAGTTTGTATAATTTAAGTAGGAATGCAGTGGGCTTCCTATCAATTTCACTTCCAGGAATACTGTGATTAATTAGCCAATGCCAGAGCTCTACACGTGTCAGATCACTCTGATCGCCACTTTGCCTCTGCTATCCATGCTGTTAGCTATGCCTTTGACAGGTCAGTGCCACCATTTGGCCCCTGCCACTTCAGGATCCAATTATTTCCATTGTATTTAAATTTTGTAATTCAGCGACTGTGGTTCCCACTGTTAGATCTAACATGAAGAGAAGAGCAATTACGGGCTCTTCAAAAATGCAGATGCTGCCCTCACAAATCTATTTAGCAAGGCATTGGTCAAGGGTATACCTTCTGGACCCTCCCAGCTGGGATGAGTAGGTCTAAAGTGACTAATCCACTCCGCCATACCAATCTCCCTAAGCCTTTGGATCCCTTCCTCCACATTAAACCAAGGGATATTAGGCATTTCCAGCTTGCTCACTGTGGGTCATCTTTTAATCTATATTTCAGCTAACCAAGCAAATAAACTATTAGAACTTTTTTAACTCCCTACACTGCAACATTAAAGGCCCACTAAGCAGGCCCAAATCAATACAGTCAGACTGATCCAATTCAATGTTCCTTCTACCATTATCCCACACCCTTAATATCCATTCCCATGCCTGTTCTCCAGGTTGCTGTTTATATAACTTAGAGAACTCAAACAGTTCTTTTCGAGTGTAGTGTACCTCCTCGTGGGTCACACTCTGAACCTCACCTCTTGGGGCCCACTGAGACTCTAGTTATAAGTCTAGAGGCAAACAGAGGTGTTGGGGGTGCTTCCTGAGGAGAATCAACATTATCTTGCCTGACAACTGCCTGAGGGGAGGCCATCACTGTTGCCCCAGGCAGCTCAGGGTTTATCTCCTCAGACAAAGGTGGAAAGGCTGATGGCAGCATGGGTCAGGTAGGGGATGTTGCCATTACTGTGGATGGGGAAGCTGGTAAAAAATATTCATCAGAGTTTACAAACTTAGTGTCCCCCAACTTCATCAGGGTCCTCCCACACATCCCCATTCCAAGTTTCAAGGTCCCATTTTTTTCCAACTGATGCCCTCACTTTAAGAGTAGACACCTGGAGAGGCTGTGCATGCGCCTTCCATTACAGGTCAGCCACTCACATATGAGCTCGTATCTGTTTTTCCACAGTTTCAGTTCTTTCACCACAGGAGATAAGACTTTCACTCAGGGCAGCCTTAGCAGATTTGAGGTTCAGTATTTGCTCTGAAGCCAGGAGACAGAATCCCTGAGTTTATAATTTTCTTTCATCACTTTGTCCACTGAACTTAGGAGCAACCAACTAGCTTCATTATGTTTCTTGTTCTCCACATATGGTCAAAGGTATTATGTATAGTTATTCAACTCCTTGCCTCTCACAAGTGGTGAATCAGGAGTGTCAAATGCATTTATTTTGTATAGCTCTCTAAACAGTTTCTGCCAAAGACTATCAGTGTTCTCCACACTATTAGAAATAGAGTCCTTAGCATTTTTGAGTCTAATCATATTAATCAGCCAGCTCCAGAAACCCCAAAACCAATGAAAGAACTCTATCCTTAATATTCTGTTCCTCTAGAACTGTTGGGGTTCAGGGATTCAGGGGAGCCCTCAACTTCCCTGAGGGGATGTTGCTCCAGGTTCTCGGTCTATCACTCTCTCAAGAATGAGAGAGGAGACCACAGCATAATGCACTCATAAAATAAATACCAGACCCCAAAAGTGTTGCAGAAAAGTGATTTATTTAGGCAGAGAGAGAAAAAGGAGAAGGAGAGAGAAGGAAAAGCTAGCTCTCATATTGAATGAGAGAAAGAAAAGCTGCTCTCCCACTGAGTGAGAAGGATTCCCAGAGGGAGAAACCAGAGAAGGAAAATTCCCTCACACTAAGTCAGAGAATCCAGAAAGATGGAATCCAAGAGAGGAAAGACAGCTTCCACACTGGGTGGAAAGGGACCCCAGAGGGGAAGATCCAGGAGGGGATTCCAGAGAGCTGCAAATCTGGTGTGGGTGAAGGAGCAGGGGAATTTATCCTGGGAATGGTTCTTATATGGAGGTAGGAGAGCAAAGAGCAGGAAAAACTTCCACTTACAAACCCATCATCTCTTGTCAGAACTCACTCACTATCATGAGAACAGCGTGGGGGAAACTGTCGCCATGATCCATCACCTTCCTCCCTCCACATCAGGATTACAATTCGAGATGAGATTTGGGTAGGGACACAGAGCCAAACCATATTAGTGAAATACATACTGAAAGATTAATCACTGAAATGGCAATGCAGAAAACAAAATTAGGTTGTTGAATATGATAGCAGGAATGGAGGAAAATGGTTGATAGATCTTTCAGAATGCAGAGCAAAAATCCCAAGAGGTGGGAAATACAGCATAGTTTTTTTTGGAAAGAAAAGAACAGTCCAGGAAATCTAACATTCAAGTATTAGAAGTTTTAGAAACCAAAAAAAAGACAGAGAAAACTCACAGAAGAAAATCACCATGGCAATTATTTAATGAAATTTCTTAGAACTGAAATCCTTTCCTGAATGCCTAACTCAACAGATAAAATCAACCACAGAAAAGCATAGCACCATGAAGTTTCAGAATACTGTTATACAATAGTTCTAAATTATTTGGAAACTCTACAAGCCTCCAAAGAGAAGAAGAGTTCGCAAACAAAGAGTCAGGAATAAAAATGAATTAGAAGTTGTCAAGAAAAATACTGCAAGTTAGAAGAAAAATGGATGAATATCTTCAGAGCTCTGTAAATATTTTCAGGCAGAATTTGGAATTACTATATATCCTTTCTCAAGGAAATACTGGGGGATATGTTCTGTGTCAGGTGAATTTTCCCTGACAATTTCCCTGACACAGAATTTCCCTGACATAGACAGGCCTGCATAGCCCTTCAGCTACACAAATTTCCACAGAGCTGCCTTAACATTGAGCAAATAGTTAAACCTAGGGAAATCAGTGCCCAGACATCAAAGCTAGAAATGAAACATATGGTCAAGCTTTCTCCCTAACCAGGAGCAAATTAAAATAATAGAGACAGTCTTACTTTCCTGGTGCCAGGACCCATCTCGGGTCAATGAAATCTGAGACGAATCAAGGTAAGAGAGGCAGCTGTTTGAATGGATTCATTGGAGAGTCTAAGCAGGTCTCCAGACAAAGCTGTAAAAGAAACAAAATAGAAGTCATTGCTCCGGTACCACAGTAGACAGGCCTTGAAGGTACTGGGTCCCTTTTAATCAGACTTAGCAAGCATTTTTTGCCTGACCTTCTATTTGAAATAAAATTAGTTACCAATAGACTTAGACAAATGCTATACTGCGCATAGGCACATAACCCCAACCTATGTAAGCACTAAGAAAATTGCAACACTTTGGGTTGGTCTGGTGGAATTATCTCTGGCCTTCTCCCTGTATCCAGTTATAGCAATACACTGGGCAACGATTTGATAACTCACCAATTATTTTATGTGTCAGACTGCCTGATTCCTTCACTTGGCAGAGATTTACTACACAAGTTAGAGGCCTCACCTGGAGAGACGTCAGATGTGTCTTCAAGCGCCTCCAGAGCACGGACTGCTGCTGCAAGCACTGCCGGTGAGCACTGACAAACTCACGGTATCCTGAGGGAACTCATCAGCAAGGAGCTCCAGCAGGATATTATTGAGCATATAGTCGTTCCTTTTCCACGCCTGGTTTACTGAATTGGAAAAATTCCAATTCTTCCTACAGGGCAGATCCCCAGAAAATGACCCAACGGTTTATCACCCATTGCCCTACATGAGCTGATGTGCAAGCCCACCTAAACATCATGCTCACAGCAGATGAAAGAAGGCTAGTATTAGGTAAGACAAAGCGGGAAGCATGGTGCCTTCATGACAAAAGCCCCAATTATACCAGGACCCTAATGAGGCAACTCGCTGAACTGACCCTAACTGGGATCCTAAGGAGGCAGGTGGAGATGGGATGAATCAACTGGAATGCTATCGAAAGTGGATCCTAAAGGACTTTGGATCAAGGGTGCCAAGACCTGAAAGTCTGAACAAAATACAGGCACTTCAGCAGAAACCCATTGAGGACCCCTCAGAATTTGTGGACCAGATCTGTTAGACATATAGGAAGTATACAGAGTTAGACCCACAGGGCCCTGAAAATCCTAGAATGGTGAATATGACCTTTATAGGGCAAAGTGCCCCAGACGTTAAGAAGAAACTACAAAAAGTGGAGGAGGCAATTAGAATGAAGCTTCCCGGATAATCAACATTGCCTTTAAGGTATATAATACTGGGGAGACCAAGGAAACCCAGGCACTTTGGCAGGCAGCTATGCACCCAGCAGCTGCAGGAGGAAACCCAAGAAAAAAGGGCCCCCAAGGCACAAAAGGAAAATAGAAAAGGACCAATATGCTTACTGTCAGGAAATAGGGCACTGGAAGAGAGACTGTCCCAACTTAAATCAGAAGGAACCCAGGTCACTATGGCTGTCAAGCCCAGAAAAGAATCTGAGGAAAACTGAGGGTGCCCGAGACTCCCAACAGCTCCAACTCTATCTGACGTCAAAATTTTCCCACAGGAGCCTCAGGTAGAGATGATACTGATGCTAGTTATTCGGGAGTTAATACACCAATCAGTAAGCTTTCTGACACCTGCTGTCAATACACTCCAACTATATATACCCCAGTATACCCCGACAATATACCCTCACTCTACGGACAGAAAGTGTCAGAAAGCTTAGAGATTGGTGTGTTAACTCCCAAATCAGAACAGTTCCTGCACCCATTTCATGTAAAGTGGGCAACGATTTGATAACTCACCAATTCCTTTACGCGTCAGACTGCCCGATTCCTTTACTTGGCAGAGATTTACTATGCAGGTTAGAGGCTCAGATCATCTTCCGCCTGGAGAAACGTCAGGTGTGTCTTCAAGTTCCTCCAGAGCACGGACTTCGGCTGCAAACACTGCCGGTGGGCACTGAGGCCCCACACCCAGAGGCAGAGGCAATTCATTAAGAGGACTTGGAAAAGGTGAAGCCAGAAATCTGGGCATCCGACCAACCTGGGAGAGAAATTAAGGTGAGTCCAACAAAAATCAAACGGAAGGAAAAGGCCCAACCTGTCTGAAGAAAACAATACCCCTTAAAGAAGGAAGTCTTGGAAGGTATCCAGCCGGTATTAATCTGGTTTTTGCAATATGACTTAATAAGGCCTTGTCAATTCTCATACAATACTCCTTTCCTGGCAGTAAAGAAGCTTCATTCCCATAAATATAGGTTCGTGCAAGATCTCAGAGAAATTAATGATATCGTGGAAGACATTCACCCCACCGTGGCTAACCCGTACGCTATGCTTGCTTCACTACCTAAGGATCGGAAATGGTTTACAGTGCTAGACTTAAAGATGCCTTCTTTTGCCTACCAGTGGAAATAGATGGACAGAACCTGAGACATCTGTAGTTTCAATATTGCTGGACTGTGCTCCCTCAAAGGTCTAAAAACTCCCCGACATATTTGGAGAGGCTTTGGTTCAAGCCTTAAGAGGCTTGCAATGAGTCAATGGGGTGCTACTTCAATACGTGGACAATTTATTAATTTCTGGCCCCTCAAAACAAGAACGTCAAAAAAAACACTGTGAAGACCCTAAACCACTTGGCAGCTTGTGGGTATAAAGTTTCAAGTCAGAAGGCCCAAATACGCAAGCACACTGTAGAATACTTGGGGTTTCTGTTACAAAGAGGAACCCACCTCTTCGTAACAGAAAGAGGGTCAGCCCACCACAATTTATGTGCCACACCAAGTCTCGGCGTTGTCAGAACAGAAAGGTGGCTATTGGCTATTGGCGGGCAGATGAGGCTGATACCGGGCTATCCTGCTAGATGTCCCCGCAGTGAAACTGCAGACCACTGGAACCTTAAACAAACCTCACCACTTTGCTGCCACCTACTGGGGAATCGCAGGAACTAACACATGACTGCCTGGAAGTTATTGATCAGGTAGGTATTTTCTAGCTTCCCAGATTTGAAGGACACATCCCTCTCATGTGCAGACTGGACACTGTTCACCAACGGGAACAGCTTAGTCATCAACAGAAGAAGGAACGCTGCCTATGCTGTAGTGAGTCTCTCCGAGGTAATAGAGGCAAGAACTCTCCCAACAGGGACTCCTGCACAGAAAGCTGAGTTAATCCCCCTTACCAGAGCCTTACAACTCTTCCAAGAGAAGAGCACCAGCATCTACACTGATTCCAAATACGCCTGCATGATAGTCCATGCACAGGGAGAGAAAAGGGCCTACCAAAGACTGACAATACTGAAATCAAATACGCAAAACATGTGTTAGAGGTACCAGAGGCGATAAAGGCCCCAAGAGAAACAACTATTATGCATTGCCCAGGCCATCACAGCAACAATTCTGAAGTAGCTAGGGGAAATGCTTTCTCAGATCGCATAGCCAGGCACCTAGCCAGCACCAACGTTGACATCCAGGCACCTTTAATTCCCAAAATAGATTTGGCAGCCTTCAAACCCAGCTATAGTCTTGAAGATGAAAAAGTGGCCAAGGACAAAGGGTTTATTCAGGATGAAAATGGCTGGAAATGGAATGACAAAGGCCTGGTTTAGGTGTCAGAGCAAATTCTTCACCCAATGCTAAAATATATTCATGACGGCACACATTTTGGACAAGATGCCTCGTTAACTTTTGTATAGAAGTATATGAAAGGAAAATGACTGAGGGGCCACTTGGAAAGTATAATCCAACGACGCAGTTTTCGTACTAAAAATGAGCCCAACACCATAGTACAGGACAGCCTGGAGAGCAAGGGAGAGGAAAATGACCGCTAGAGAACTGGCAAGTCGACTTTGCTCAAATGCTACCTGCCCCCGGAGGGAACAAGTATCTGCTAGTTCTACTGGACACCTTCTCAGGCTGGGTAGAGGCATACCCATGCTGCTCTGAGCAGGCAATGGAAGTAGTTAAGGTACTGTTAAAGGAAATCATACCTCAATATGGGTTTCCTGACATGATCCAGAGTGATAATGGAGCTTCACTCACATCAGAAATAACCGAACTAGTAAGTAAAGTGCTAGGGATAAAGTGGAAGCTACACACAGCCTGGAAGCCTCAATCCTCCAGACAAACTCAAAGAATGAATCATACCTTGAAAACAACTCTCGCCAAGCTACGTCAGCAAACACAGCTAAAGTGGCTTCAGGTGCTGGGGACTGCACTGTTCCGGGTAAGAACAGACCCCAGAAGTGGGATCAAATTAAGTCCCTATGAAATCATTTCGAGAGGGCTTTTACAGCCAACTTGTCCCGGGTCACTAGAATGTCTCCAGACAAGGAACTAGCTGTTAAAACTTATGCCACTCACTTGGGACAAACTCTTGACCCCTTGCATAAGTTTGCTTCTAACAGAGACGTCATAGGCTCCATGGGAGCCCGCCACCCATTCCAGCCTGCTGGTCAAGTGCTGCTGAAGGAATGGAAGGAAGCTGGTCCTGCCCAACAACTACAGGAGAAATGGAAAGAGCGCCATGACGGGCTGCTAACTACCGACTCGGCACTGAAACTAGCAGGCATCAAACCCTGGGTTCATCCTGTGCAGGTAAAGAAATTCCACTCACCTGAGCCCTCTACTACAGAAACATCTGTGGCCACTCAGTGGGAGGAAGAGCCCCTAGAGGACCTGAAGTTTCTATTCAGAAAGCGATAAGAATTCCTTTTATCCTACTCTTCCTGTTTACACCTAGTATTGTTTCTGCACACACTTCTAACCTCTTTCTGCAGTGGGCACAGATCTATGCAGATAGCCTTTAGTGTGATTCCTGGTGGGTCTGTGGCCTATTACCCCTTTCTAGCACCACAGTTTCACCGTGGTGGGTCTCACCTATGCAAGGGAAAGACTGGAGACATTTACAAGTCTTCCTGGATTTAAAACACTGGACCGGGTCACAAATGATGGGCATGAGTGGGGCAAATGTGTCAGAATGGCCCATCAACACAACTTTAAATGATCCAGGACATGAAAAGCCGTTCTCAATGAATGAAACATGAGATGAAGTTAGAGCGCTAGCTCCTCCCTTGTTAGACCCCAACGTGCTCATCCAAACTTTTAAACCCCAAAATGTTTGATGCCAGAGTGGCTTTCTCCAAATTTGGGATGGACTCACATGGTTAATGACCTCTACCGGGCACCTGAGTCAACTAGCCCACTTGAGCTGTGAACAATGAAACCACCCCCTCAGCCGCTGGCCCAAAACCATGCAGGTTAGGGGATGGATTCTCCCAGATCGGTGCCAACATATTATAGTGCTCCGGAAAAGGGACGCATTTGCCATAGATTGGTCACAATGACCTGGCCTACAGATTGGGAGCAACGGCCCGGTACGCTCCCAACAGGACTTGATACGATGGCTTTGCGGCCCCAGTTTGCGGCCACCGCTCCCTGAGGGCTGGCTAGGGTGCTGCCCTCTAGGCCTCCCACAGGCACAAGGCCACTGGGTAAAAAACAAAAAACAAAATCTAGCCAATCTTCCACATACGATTAATAGGTGGACTAGATCAGTCTTTCATTAGTATGATCGTTTAGCTGCAGTATTCATGCCCTCAGTTAGGCTAGAAACTGTTACGTGGCACACAGATGCCCTGGCTAACTTTACCCGAAGGGCTCGGAATGACAGCCTCAGGAGATCGCCCTGATAAATACTGAAGTGTATCATACGTGGAAGCTATTCTACAAAACCGAATGGACTTAGACATCCTTACTGCAGCTCGAGTGGGAGGTTGTGCCCTCATCAGAACTGAATACTGTGTGTATATTCCAGATAACTCTGGGAACATCTCCCTGGCGTGAAAAGATCTGCAAACTCAGGCCACCTCCAGGCTAGAGCTGTCACTAAATGATCTCCTTGCATCATGGTTTGGTAGAAGGCCCTCTTGGTGGCAGAATATTCTAGCGTTCTTAGCCATTCTCCTAGGCATAGGTGTCGCTTTATGCTGTGGAGTGTATTGCTGCTCTGTGCTGTTCCAGAACATTCCTTGGACTCATGCCGTTATGTTTCAACAGGCACTGCCCCTTAGATCCCGAAATGAAAAACACTTCAGAGAACACTCCAGCCCCACGTGCAAGAACCGCTGACGACGACTCCTCTCAGCAGGAAGTAGCCAGAATGATCACAACATCCAGCATTCCAGCAGCTCCTCTGGCACACGCATTTTAGAAATCATGCACAAGTTGACAGTGGGGATTGTGGCAGGCCAGTTCTCGCTGACAATCACACAGACAGGCCTGCACAGCACTTTGGTTATGTCGACAAATGTCCATAAAGCTGCCCTAACATTGAGCAAATAGTTAAACCTAGGGAAATCAGTGCCCAGACGTCAAAGCTAGCAATGAAACATATGGTCAAGCCTTCTCCCTAACCTAGAGCAAGCCAAAATAATAGAGACAGTCTTACATTCCTGGTGCCAGGAGCTATCATGAGTTGATGAAATCTGAGACGAGTCAAGATAAGACAGGTAGCTGTTTGAATAAATTCACTGGGGAGTCCAAGGCAGCTCTCCAGACCAAGCTGTAAAGGAGATAATATAGAAATCATCACTCCATCACTCTGGTACCACAGTAGACAGGCCTTGCAGGTACTGACCCCACCTGCCTCTGACCTTTTAGTCGAAACAAAATTAGTTACCAATAGACTTACATGAATGCTATACTGCACGTAGGCACAGAATCCCAACATATGTAAGTGCTAAGAAAATTGTAACACCTGGAGTTGGTCTAGTGGAATTGTCGCCGGCCTTCTCCCTGTATCTGGTGACAGCAATAAATTTCCTTCTTTCCTAGTTTGTCCGCTTCTCGTTATTGGTCTTTGAGAAAACGCAGCCAGACCTGGCTTGATTCTGGGAACGTGTTCCACAAAAATGAAAGGAGAAAGCATGGCATTCAGAAAACAAGAATTTTTACCCTGGAGACAGCTAAAGGGAATCCCCAGACTGACGGTAATCCCAGGGTGACCCCGTGTCCCAGGTCTAGAGGGCACTCAGCAAGATGGCTCTCAGAGAAGTCAGAAACCCTGAGAGACCTTTT